AAGGTAATGTTCTATTAAAAAAAATGCCTTAACATTCCTGATCTTCACCAACATCTGTTCAGACTACAAGGTAATGTTCTATTAAAAAAATGCCTTAACATTCCTGATCTTCACCAACATCTACCCAGACTACAAGGTAATGTTCTGTTGAGAAAAATGGCTTTACATTCTTGAACTTTGTCAACATCTACCCAGACTACAAGGTAATGTTCTATTAAAAAAATGCCTTAACATTCCTGATCTTCACCAACATCTGTCCAGACTACAAGGTAATGTTCTATTAAAAGAAATGCCTTTACATTCTTGATCTTCAGCAACATCTACCCAGACTACAAGGTAATGTTCTGTTGAAAAAAATGCCTTTACATTCCTGATCATTGCAAACATTTGTCCAGACTACAAGGTAATGTTCTGTTCAAAGAAATGCCTTAACATTCCTGATCTTTGCAAACATCTATCCAGACTACAAGGTAATGTTCTGTTGAAAAAAATGCCTTTACATTCCTGATCTTTGCGAACATCTATCCAGACTACAAGGTAATGTTCTATTGAAAGTAATGTTTTATCATTCCTGATCTTCACCAACATCTGTCCAGACTACAAGGCCATGTTCTATTGACAGAAATGTTTTAACATTCCTTGTTTCAATTCTGCACAAGAAAGTTGATGCCAAAATTCCATTTTAGACTGAGAACCTACACATTACTCCCTCTATCTGTGATATTTTCTAACACTGAGTATGTATTATAGTTTTACCTACCATCTTTAAAATTTATAAATTAATCACTGAAGTGAATTTGAATTCCTAAGTGGGTTTAACCAAGCTTTGCTTTTCATCAAAATAAATAGGTGAATTTTGTAAAATTACTTTCTCAGGCTTAGTTTAGTTTAGTTTTTTTTACATAGGCGTTTAATTGCTTAGAGAAGTTTAGCTGTTAATATAGAAACTGAATTATTTAGAGAGATATTTTTTGTTTATAGAGATGTTGAATTGTGTCACTTTTCCCTTACTCGTAGCCCGGCATGGCCAGGTGGTTAAGGCGCTCAGCTCGCAATCTGAGGGTCACGGGTTCGATTCCCCGTCACACCAAACATGCTCACCCTTTCAGTCGTGGGGGCGT